CCATGTGCACTCAAAAAGAATGTGTATTTTGCTGCTTTTGAATTGAATATTCTATATCCTTCTATCAAGTCCTTCTGGTCTAGTGTTTCACGTAAGGGCAGTGTTTCCTTGTTGACTCTCTGGTTGAAAGTTCCGTTGATTTTATTGGTGTAAAGTCACTACTATTATTGTGTTGCTGTCATTTTCTCTCTTTAGTCTGTTAATGGTTGTTTTAGGTATTTTGGTTCTCTCTGTGTTAGCTGTATATATATTAATAAAAGTTCTGTCTTCTTTGTGGAATGGCCCCTTTATCATTATATAATTTCTATCTTTGTCTCTTGCTATCTTTTTTTAGCTTTAAGTCTGTTTTGGCTGATGTAAGTGTGGCTACACCCACTTTCTTTCGGTTGTTATTTGCTTGGAGTATCATCATCCATTCCTCCACTCTCAGCCTATGGTTGTATTTAGAGTTGAAATGTGTCTCCAGGAGGCAGCTTATTGTTAGGTTTTGTTTTGTAATCCATCCAACCACTGTGTGTATTTCAATTGGTGAATTCATTTTTACATTTCACTGTTAACTTTATAGTGGTTATTGATATGTGAGGGCTTAGCACTGCCATTTTATCATTTACTCTCTGGTTTTTCTGTATTTGTATTGTTTCTGTTTCCTTGTGTTTGTGTCTGCAATTTCAATTTGGTGGTTTTCTGTGATGTGTTTCTCAGTTTCCTTTTTTATATATATATATATGTTTTGTGACTCTGCTCTGAATTTTTGTTTGTGATTCATGTGGTTACCATGAGGTTTCTATAAAAGATTCACAGTCCTTTTTCTGCTGATAGCATCTTATCTCCATTTGTCTGTGCAAGTTCCATCCTTTTCCTCTTCCCATTCTGTGTTTTTGTTGTCACAAGTTATCCCTTTGTATATTGTGAGTCTGTGGCTGAACTTAAGTGTTTGTAGTTATTTTTAATACTTCCTTTGAGCCTTTATGTTCTTATTGTTTACTATCCTATTCTGATACCGAGTTGCAGCTTTCAGATTCTTTTTATCACCTTGTGCAAACTTTGTATACTTTTGCCTTTCTGTTTCAGGAGGGGGGTTCCTTTCAGCATTTCTTGTAAGGAAGATCTAGTGGTGATGAACTCCCTCACCTTTTGTTTTTCTGGGATAGCGTTTATTTTTGCTTCATATGTGAAGGATGACTTTGCTGGATAAAGTATTCCTAGCTGACACTGTTTATCTTTCAATATTTTGAATATATCATTTCATTCTTTTCTAGTCTAAAGTTTTTGCTGAGAAACCCACTGATAGCCTAATGGGGCTTCCTTTGTAAGTTATTTTTTCTCCCTGAATGCCCTTAATATTTTTTCTTTGTCATTGACTTGTGACAGTTTTAGTATAATGTGTAATGAGAACATCTTTTTGGGTTGAGATAATTAGGTGTTTCTTTTAGTTTCAGGTCCTTTTACATCCAGTTACTTCCTTGAGTTTGGCAAGATCTCAGCTATTTCTTTATATAAGTTCTGTGTTCATTTCTCCTTCTCTTCTCCTTTTGGGATACCCATTATCTTTTTGTTGGTTTTCTTAATATAAGAGTTGGATGTTTCTCATAGAATTTCTTCATTTAAAAAAAAATCTTAGCTCTCTCTCCTTTTCCACCTGAATCATTTCTAGATTTGTGTCTTTGATCTTGCTAATTCTCTCTTCCATATGGTCTCCTATATTCCCAGTGCTTTCTACTTTATGCTTAATCTCATTTATTGTGCTCTTCAGCTCCAGAATTTTTTCAGTTTCTGTCTCTAGTGAAGTGTTCTTTCTGTTCATTAATTTTATTCCTAAGTTCATTGAACTGCCTGTCTGATTGTTCTTGTATGCTGTTGTGTTTGTTCATGACAGCTGTTTGAATTCTCTGTCAGATCGCAGTCTTCTGTGACTTCAGGTTTGGTTTCTAGAGACATGTCGTGTTCTTTTTATGCTACCTGGTTACTGTTGTTCTTCATGGTGCTTAATGAGTTGTTCCTCTGTCAGTGCATTTGTGGTAGGAAACATTTTTCTTGTTTAGGTAGGCTTTGTTTATTTTCATTTTAGGCAGCTTCTGGTTGTATTTCAGAGCCTGTGCTTTCCACCCTCCACTGTCTCTGCCAGAGGAGTCATCAGTGCCCTCATTGTGCTGCTTCTGTCTCCAAGATTGCTGGTACCTTTCTGCCTACAATCTTGCTGCAGTTGTGGGTCTTGCCCCCAGGGTCACCAGGGTGCAAGCACCTCTGCTGCCTCTGGGGGTTCACCTGAGTCACAGGTTCCCTCAGTGCAGCAGGGGAACAGGGAGAGTGAGGCAGGAGCTGGCATCACAGGCATTTTTGCCCCATCTGAGTTTTTGGATCTGCATGTGGTGCTGCTGTCGGGGGTGGGGGTGGGAGATAGAAATTTCATGTGCCTCTGCAGCTGGGGAGGACCTGGATCTCTGGCCTCATCATTGCTCTTGTCTGACTCTCCATGGGCTCTCCACATTCTTGGGTGCTCCTCCCACGTTTGCTCCTTTTACTGCTGCTCCTGGGTTATCTGGGGGTTTAACAATCCAGCTGCTGGGGATGCTGGGTGTGCAGGTGTTATCATTCCTGCTGTATTGGCCAGGTTCATGGAAGACACTGCCACCATCAGAAGGGGAGCAGTACCTGGGTCACAAGTGCCACTTAGGTTCCCTAAGTTCTGGTTTCTGGTGCCTGTGTGATTCCTGGAACTTCAGGGCACAGGCGCTCCTTCCACCACCAGGGACCTGATGTATTGTATGCAGCATCTGCTTCTGGCAGGACCAGTGTCAGGGGCAATGCCACCAGGGGATGAGTTATGGGCACCACTGTGGCTCTGAAACCTCAGGTCTCAGGTGCCACCTGGCACTGCTTGCTGAGGGAGAGGAACTGAGCCATGAGTGCCCCTGTGGCTGTTACAGCCTCTGGTCTTGGGCACCAAGATGCATTATTCCTGGAATATCAGGTCACAGACACTGCTGCCACTACCTGGGGTTTCTGGGTCTTGGATGCAGCCTCTGCTGCTGGAAGAGCTGGTCTCCAGTGCTGCCACCAGGGTAGGTGGAAGGGACTGGGGTACAGTCATCTCAGTTCCTGGTGCCTCCATCAGCATGGGCTAGCTGAATTCCTGGGGCGTCCATTTATGTGCATTATCTCAGTTCTTGAAGCCTCTGCTTACCGATGTGGCTGCAGATCCTGGAATTCTGGTCTCAGGAGCTGCTGATGCTGCTCCACTGCTTCCATGCTGTACGGGAAGTCCAGTCAGCCCACCTGCAGATGAGAGATGTTTGGAGCTCTCGGGTGTCCAGGAGCGTGTGCAGAGTCCTTTGTTGGCTTGTGGAATGTCCTACTGGTTGTAACTTAGAGAGGAGAGACAAAGGCAACAACTCACTCCACCTGGACCCAGACATCACAGCAAAGGTTATTGGTTTTTAACAAAAAGAAGTTAGCCTTAAAATACAGAACATTAAAAGACAATTTAAGAAACATGAAGGAAGTCTACGGAAGAAATTGATAAATATAACAGCCAGTTGAGTGGAGAAGTGGAAGTGATAACTGAAATGAAAGGGTAGTTGTCTGAAAAAACTCATAAAGTAGACAGCTGTTGGGGAAAGTTTCATATGGCCTTGCCCCTTTCCCGAGCTCAGGGTAGAGTGCAAATGTGTTTGATTAGACTTTCTAACTAAGACCTGTGGCCACTTCCCAGTACTTCAGTGTTTTCTGAGTTCTTTTGTATAAGCATTGACATAGTTTCTCTAATCTTTTAGGGTCAGATGTGGAGGACCTCATGACTATTTTACTTTTCTTCTGTTTTCTTGTGCAGGAGCCAATAGAATATATGTGCTGTGTGTGTGTGTGTGTGTGTGTGTGTGTGTGTGTGTGTGTGTAGGACACTTGTTATTTTCTCACCTGCTTGATTGTTTTCCCATATTAGTTTTGAATTGATGTATCAATTCTTAGTCTATTGTCTATGTTCTCCAATAGGAATGTTGGATCTTTAATATCTAGGACATGCTTTGTATGCGTCACTGCTCTCAACTAACTGTCTAAACTCAGGGACACAGTTTCTTCATTGCTTAGTGAAAGAATAAAGGAATAATTCAGCATTAAGAACTTAAAGGGAGGCCTAAAGCTTCAGACTTCTGCAGCATCCATCAAGGGAAGCTCAGGAGTGTTTCTTCCCGTCATATGCCCAGGAACAGCCTCACACAGTGCTGTCCGGTAGAACGTGTAGATTAGGTGTCTAATGACAATATTTTCTTAAGCATGTAAGCAGTATAAAAAAGTTGTGATATTTTACATTATTTTGTTTTCTACATTCGAAGTTTTCTATGTTCCCTGGACACTAAGTTTTTATCGGATAGACTTGATTTGTGTTTACGTCATATGGTATTTATAGTTGACAGAGTAGATTCAAATATTTAAGTTGTTCCAAATACATAAGTAAGTTCGACATCTGGTATAGATGGTCCTCAGTAAATGACAGTGATGTTACTGATACTTTTGTTACAAAGCATACGGTTTTAATAGCTTTGCACAATACAGAGTCCTTTGTTTTAGACCTGAGCAGTCAAGCTGCTGGTTTATTCAAGAGGCGCTTAGGTGGGCCAGAGAATGCTGTGCTCTAAGTCACCTTCCTGGTACATATGCCTTAGAGAGAATGGCTGCATAATCTCATTCATCAAGTTTATTGCCTTGACAACTGAAGAGACACATTCCTCAGGACTTAAGTTTCCTTCTCTGTAAAATGAACCCACTGTGCTTTTCCTGATGGGCAGCATGGCTCGCAATCCCCTTTTGTGGCTCCAGATGAGACAGGGCTCCTCTGACATTTGATGGCAGTGGTGTGTGTATGTGTGTGTGTGTGTGAGAGATTTCTCAAGTGTGCAGGGATATTTGGGAGTTTCAATCCAGAATGGAATGACTTCCAGGCAGGTGAAGGTGGGAATTATGATCATCTGTGGCATCCTCATGCCTTCTTTCTTTTCTCCTAGGTCATGTTTCTGCCTTCCTGAGGAAGACAGAAGCAGAAAGGATGGTGACTGACTGTTTGACTAGTTGTTCTCAGGTAATTAGGAAGTCTGTCCTTCTACAAAGTGACATATTACATCCACCAGTTAAACACATTTCCTTCTAGATAGAGCTGTCTCCAGAGTTTCTTAAAGAAATCAAGCCATAGCAGGACTGAGTCCCTGTTGAATTCCCTCCCAAAATGGAACGTCTCCTGTTGGTTCCTGTGAATAATCTCAGTGTTTTGATAATTACCTTCTGCTATTGTCTCTTATCATGGCAACTGCATATTTTTTTGCTTTGCCGTGTGCTCTGACAGCTAACGAAGATGAACGTGTGCATTTCTCAAAGAATTTATTCATTCATCAACTTTTAGGAGTCTGCAGCTTGCTCAGTGCTGTCCTGCAAGAGGGAAATAAGACATGAAGAGCCTTTAGTCTAGTTGTGGTGAGATAAGTTCATGTGTTAGAGCTTCCATTAAAGCCATGACTGCAGGATATCAGCCGTGAGTGAGCTTAGATAGAAGAGTATCTAGGAGAATTGCTCCTTGGGGCGATGATAAGACACTTTGAAACCCTCTGTTGCCATTGGGTCTTCCGTTTTCATTTCCTAGTGAACGGTGGTGGCAATGTTTCTTTATTGAATCCAGCGTGTGTGTGATGGTTTAGGACTCACTCACCTTCGCTGATGTGGCTGTGGACTTCACCCAAGAGGAGTGGACTTTACTAGAGCCAACTCAAAAAAATCTCTACAGAGACGTGATGCTGGAGACCTACAAGAACCTGAGCACAGTAGGTAAGCCTGCCATCCTTCCTGTAGCCTCTTACAAAACAGGTATCTATGATATGTTTACTGTGTGCCAGTGCTGGTGATGAGAAACCTGCACATGAATGGAGAGAGTCTCTAGTCTCTACACTAACGGGTTTAATCTAGTCTGCTTTCTGTAAAAGTGTGGTCATAGCACTTCGATCATCCCCATCACTCTCTTAGAAATGTGCATTCTCAGACTCTGCCTTTGACATAGTGAATGAAACTCTGGCATTGGGTGAGACGTGCATTTTAATGAAAACACTGGACATGATTCTAATGGACAATAAAATGTGACAACCACTCGTGTAGTGGTTTCTCCATGAGAATGAACATGACTTTTTTCACTTAACTATTTCAATAAAAGTCTTAATGCCTTGTAATTTGTATATATACATCTGAACATGGGTTTCAGGGGCCAGAGATAATCTTCTGATGCACAGAAAGGGGAGGTATTTGCATTTTTATCTCTTTGAAATAATTTTACTGCTTTCATTAGAAATATGGGAAGTGATTCATGGGAAAGTTTGTCATCTTTTGCAGGTGACTTTTCCATTAATACTTCTTTCCCTGTGAACAGAGTATCAGTTGTTCAAACCCAGTTTGATCTCTTGGTTGGAAGAAGAAGAGTTGAGGGCAGTGGAGGGAGGAGTTTTCCAAGGTGAGTGAGTATGAAGAACTCCCCTGGTAATGAAAATGGTGACTGTGTTTGGAATCACAATAAGGAAACTTTAAGACATGCTTTCTCTAGGAAGCTGTCGTTGGTCTCTGAAGCTTTGGGATATTGTCAGCTTCTCATATGTTCTTACTTTACATTTACTCACAATTTCCTATGATCTCAGAGAGTGACTTACCCTGTGTCTTTTTTAACTATCATTTTGATACATTCCCTCTGTCTAGAACGCTCCTGCTTTCTATCCCTGATGGTATTCTGTTTCTTTTTCCCATTGTATTTAATTTTCATTGAATCATTTTAATCAACTACTGAATTTTGACTACATCTCCTTTTCATTGCTAAATTTTTTGCATAGCCAAACTCCTCAAATCTAATTTGCCCTTTTGTTTTCCTAGTGTGTTTAATTTGGAAATAATACAAATGAGCCTTATTATTTTTAACTCTTTAACTTACATTTCATTCTGCAAATTCCTACATTTGTTTATTCTGTTTTATTTTAGAATGGGAAATGCAGCCTAAAAGCAAAGACTCAGCAATTCCACAGCATATTTTGGGGGAAAATACATCCAATAGGATAGAAATGGTAAGATAAGTATGCTTTAAAGGAGATGTTTCTTATTTTCTACTTTTAGAAAAGATAGAGATTTTCATTAGGCAGGACATGAGCACAAGTGATAAGTATTTGAGATAAGTGGCATTCACCCAAGACAGCAGTGTCTCTTTAGACATATTCTGAATATGATGAATTTCACAGTGTTTTAAATCCAGCTTGAAGCTAGTGTCTTGAAATTCCTAGAAGGACTCTTTCCCTCTTATCTAACTAAACATTGAATTTTTAAAGCAATTCAATGAAATTGTATACGAAACTTTTAGCATTAGAGTAGATGACCTCATTCTTGCAGAAGGTTTCCATCATTCAGCTTGAAATTACTCAACAGGGTAGGAAGCATGTGAATGTAATGGAAATGACAAAAGCCATCATCGCCATCATAATGATGTTTCTGTTATGTGATGGGTAGTATCAGTTAATGAGGCTGAGAAGTCTTTGAATCATCATTCTTCCATTCATCAACAGGAAAGAATCCACAATGGGTGGGAACTCTGTGATTGTGAGCAATGTGGGAAAGTCTTCAGTGAACATTCATGTCTTAAGACACACAGGAGAACTCCAAATGGAGGCAACACTCGTGAGGATAATCAGTTTGGAAAAAGCTTCCTTACTCTACACAAGAAAACCTCACCTGGAGAGAAAATTTCCGTGTTTAATCTGTGGGGTAAAGCCATCAGCCCGACTCCAGATGTTGTGTACTATAAAACTAACATGGAAGAGAAAGCCTCCAAATGCAGTGACAGTGGGAAAGCCTTTGTTAATCAGTCTTGTTTTCAGGCACCAATGAGAACTCACAATGGAGAAAATCTTTCTGAATGGAAGGAAGATGGGAGAGCTTTTATTCAGTCCACAAGCCTTGGTGTGCATGTACAAACTCACACTACTGTTAACAATTGTTATAAATATAAGGAATGTGGAAAATCCTTTATACAGTCCACATATCTTAACACTAGTGGTAAAATTCACTCTAGAATAAAACCATTTAAATGTAAGGAATGTGGGAAAGACTTTTTTCAGTCTTTTCATCTTACTGACCATGTGAAATCACACACTGAAGTGAAGCCCTTTCTTGATGAGGTATATGGAAATGCCTTTAGAAGTTACTCGTATCTTTATGTTCCCAATCAAATTTATGCTGGAGTGGAACCGTATAAATGTAAGAAGTGTAGAAAAGTCTTTAAACATTCTTTGTACGTTAATGTTCACATGGAAAGTCACACTGAAGAAGAACCTTATGAATGTGAAGAATATGGGAAAACCTTTGCTCAGTTCTCAGGCCTTACTGAACATATAAAAACTGAGGCTGGAGAGAAGACTTTTCAATGTGACAAATGTGGGAAAGCCTTTGCTACCTCCTCAAATCTTACTAAACATTTAGGATCTCACGCTGTAGAAAAGCTGTTTGAGTGTAACATATGTGGGAAACGATTTACCAGTTCTTCGTACTTAATTATTCATAAGCGTACTCACCCTGGAGAGAAACCCTATAAATGTAAGGAATGTGGGAAAAGCTTTAACCGCTCTTTCCACCTTAAAGTTCATATGCGAACTCACACTGGAGAGAAACCCTATGCATGTAAGGAATGTGGAAAAGCCTTCACTGATTCCTCAGGCCTTTTTTACCATATAAAAACTCATACTGGAGAGTTGCCCTTTAAATGTGACGCATGTGGGAAAGCCTTTGCTTTTTCCTCACATCATAGCAGACATTTTAGAACTCACACTGGACAGAAGTCTTTTGAGTGTAATATATGTGGGAAAACATTTGCTAGTTCTTCATATGTTATTGTTCACAAGCGTATTCACACTGGAGAGAAACCATTTAAATGTGAGAAATGTGGAAAAGCCTTCACTCAGTCCTCAGGCCTTACTGTTCATATAAAAACCCACACAGGAGAGAAGCCTTTTAAGTGTGACACATGTGGGAAAGCCTTTCCTACTGCTTCACACCTTACTACCCATTTTAGAACTCACACTGGTGAGAAGCCTTTTGAATGTAATGTATGTGGGAAAACATTTAACATTTCTTCGTCCTTTATCAATCACAAGCGTACTCATAATGGAGAGAAACCATTTAAATGTGAGGAATGTGGAAAAGGCTTTAAACGTTTTGTGCACCTTAACATTCACATGCGAACCCACACTGGAGAGAAACCCTATGAATGTAAGGAGTGTGGCAAAGCCTTCACTCAGTCCTCAGGCCTTACTGAACATATAAAAACTCACACTAAAGAGAAGCCTTTCAAATGTGACACATGTGGAAAAACTTTTGCTCTTTCCTCACACCGTAACAGACATCTTAGAACTCATACAGGGCAGAAGTCTTTTCAGTGTAATATGTGTGGGAAGACATTTACCAGTTCTTCATATATTTTCATTCACAAGCGTATTCATACTGGAGAGAAACCTTATAAGTGTAAGGAATGTGGGAAAGCCTTTAGTTTTTATAATTCTTTTCAGCGTCATGAAAGAACTCACCTGGAGAGAAATCTTGTCAATGTAAGGAATGTGGGAAAGCCGTCAGTAGTCCCAGTTCACTTCAAAGACATGATAGGACCATACTACAGAGATGCTCTACAAATGTAAGGAATGGGTGAAAGCCATCAGAACCTCATCACAACTCAGCATGTGAGGACTCACAGTGAAGCCATCCTGTTAAGAATCATGGGAAGCCCTTTCCTGTTTCCTCATTGAAATCTATTTGTCACATATGAGAGATCTTGTAGTGGAGAGAAATCCAACTGATGTAAGATATTTTGGAAAATTGTTCTGCAAATGTTCACTTGTGTCTCACTTTGGAGAAAAACTTTATGAATCTCAGAAGTGTCGAGTCATCATCATTTTCCATGAGATTGTTTCTCATACTTAATAAACATGGGGGTGGTTCATGGTCAAGAGAAACTGAAATAGGAAGTATGGGAAATGCTACCCTGTGTGTGAATCTTAGCATCTTCTTAGGTACGTAGTATTCTGGGTACGTTCTATGGATAGACTCTTAGCATTTTTACTTAGGCCTTGGCCATTCCTACGTGTGATGTGTGTTTTTTGCCACTGATAGGCCAGTCTAGTTGCTATACCTTCCAGGTTGCAACCTGGTCAAAAGTAGTTTGACAGGATTTATACTTAATCCTCTTCTAACCACCTGGATTCTCCTGTTGGATTGACGTGGTCTGAGTATTTGAAGATAGTGACTGCTTGACTGTGTCCAGTGCTCTCTGTACTCATTTACAGCAAGCCACTGTGCCCAAGGCAGTGGTTGAAATACGTCTGTAAATTTTGTAAAATTACCTTGTCCCTCTTACACCCGATCCTTTCAGATAAAAAGTCAGTGTCAAGCATGGAGTGAGTGTGAAAAAAGTGAGATTACACCTACTGATGTGAGCACTCCGATTTCATGACCTTTTTGGATGAACAACAACCTTACCACCTGGGGAGGGCCTTTAACCTCAAGCCATACAGGATGATGGTGAGAATAGTGAATGTTTTCTTTCACACCATACCCAACACCACATCCTAGCAAAACAATGGTACCATTTGTCTGTGTCAAGCAACAGCTGTCACTGGTGATAAGACCTGCTTCTGTGTTTGTCATCCCATCCATGGACAGTGGAAACAGAAACATTCCTGTGGATATGGCTGATCCTAATAATCTGCTCTCTTTGATGCCCTCTGTGGCAGTTCCTGAAGGTGAACCTTGGGTTTAGCAAGACCAGCACAACCTTGTTTCATCTTCAGTGATACAAATTCACATAGTCCAGATGCTCAGCAGCCTTGGATTACATCAAGTGTGGCCATCAGGCATTCAGCTGCTTGATGACACTTTCTAAACACTGCATGTTAGTCCAAAAGAAGCTTAAAAATAAATCCCAAACAAGAATTCTCTGCACATTTCTGTGACATGTTTGTATGTGGAGTATGTTATGTCGTTGTTCACTCTTGGGTGTGTATATCACTATTTAGCTGTTCTTTTGCCCCCTTTAATTATTCGCAACAACACCAAAGATCAGTAGGTTAGTTTTAACGTTTTGTGTGTGCTGAGTCAAAGCTTGGCTTTAGATGAGATATGAATTGTCTGAAAGAAGACCTATCAGTCCCACCAGATGTTGGCACTGTTGCCGGAGTCCTTGTAGGCAGTGTTTGAGGTCACTCCTGCAGATTGGCCTCGTTCTGCTACTGGCGCTCCTAGTCCCAGCATCGTCATTACATGCTGTACAAGAGAAACCAGGCAGACTTGGTCCCAGCTTTTGTTGGTCAGTGGCTAACAAGTGGTATATTCAGGTGAAAAAACTCCAAAAGCCAAAGTTATGTTAACCATATATGCTGTGATGCAGTGAGCCTTTAAAAACATTCTAAGTGGAAAGAAGTCATTGATAAGAGACTGTATGATTTCGTTTATATGAAGTGTTTAGAACATGTGAATCTATAGAGACAGGAAGAAGATTGTGTTCACCTATATATTAAGAGAGAAGGGAAGTGGGGTATTTGAAGTGATGAAAAGGTTCTAAACTTAGAATTGTACACAAGTCTGTGCATTTACTAAACCACGTTGAATTGTATAGATTTAAATCAATGAATTGTATGATATGTCCATTATATCTCAATAAAGCTGTTTGAAGAAACAAAAGAGATTATGGTAGTACCTACACCACTGGGAAGTTCTGAGCATAATTTAATGTCTCTGAAGCGTGTAGCATGGTAAGGTGTAACAAACATTAGCTACCATTATATTTTTATCACTAAATATTAAAACATAAAACTTACAACCAAAGGTTATGGTATCAGCATAGTTACATATATGACTGTACAGAAGAGTCTAGACACTAATACACGTATATATAGCAATTTAGTGTTTAAGAAAGGTGGAATTTCAATTCAGTAGGTCAAGGATATTTTATCAATAAGTACTACTGCAACAATTGACTTTCATGTGGAGAAAAAAAAAATGGATCCCCTACCCCACACCACAGGCCAAAAACATTGGATTATGATTAAAGATTTAAATGTCTTTAGAAGTAGATTTAAGAAGAAAATATCAAATCTGCCTCTAACCTAGATTTAAAGAGACATTTTAAGGCAAGGTGGGAAATCCAGGAATTTTTTAAAAATCAGACTTCTTTGGCTACATAAACATTTAATATTTCATACAGCAACAGACGAAACATTAACATAGCAATATAGTTTTCAACTTAATGTATGCATAAAAGATTTGATGACATCCATAAACAATGTTGGAGACTTTCATGTTGGTAGTGGTCCAGGCCAGCCCAGCTTTGGTGAGGCCAGGACAAAGGGGAGGATATGAGTGTTGAAGGAGAAGTCAAAGGGCATGCTTGGTCCAGGCTGCTGAGGGGCCCGCATAAAGAGTCCTGGTGTATGCCACTCACTTCCACCAGGGACCGCAGGGCCTTCCCGCACTGCTAGGTCCCACAGTCTGTTATAGATGTCATTTCCCGCAAAGATTTGAGTTAGGAAATGCTGTAAGGATGCGTGTGCAGTATCTTTTCACCAGCAAACCCTGCAAACAACCTTTATGACTTTTCTTCAGAAGGAAAACAATTTCCACCATTGGAGTGGTGTTAACTCAGCACACATGTCCTCAGGTCCTCACAGATTTGGCAATTCTGGCTATCTGTGAGCACTGGGTGAATGTTTGTTCAAGAGGGCCTCTATTTTATATGCAAAAGAATGTTTCATCTGGGCATTTGGTTTTGTATTTGGTACATCATTTATTTTTGACACATTACATTCAGATACAAGGATACTTTCTAAGGTGTCTTTGATGTGCATATTTCTGTATATAAATATAATTGTATGTAGACATTCTTCTAAAGAAAAACAAGAATACTTATCTATCTCTTTATCCAAACTTCCTGCACTTGTACATCCCCATAGAGCTTCAAAATGGGCCTCCAGGAGAAAAGGATGGAGATTTTATTACACGACTTCTGGCATAATTGAATTTACCATTCATGGGATGTTTGGACTAAGTGTATTTTTTCATACAATACACAGAATGATGTATAAATTTAATATCAGCAATAGAACCCCAAGCACTTTGTCTTTCTATTTACAGGCAAGTATTTCTGATAGGGTCTCTTCCAGAGGAACTATCAGCCAAACTGAATGTGAACTTCTTTTACCCCAGATGTCTGTCCTGAGAGGCTCTGTTAATTAAAACTAATAATAACCACTCGTTTCCTTTTTTTATTGTGGTAAAATATACATAACTTAAAATTAGCCATTTTAAGTGTGCCGTTCTGTGGCATGTGCACTCACATTGTTGTGCCACCATCACCACCCTCCAGCTCCAGGACTTTTTCACCTTCCCAAACTGGAACTGCACCCATTCAGCTCTAGTTACCCATTTCTCTCTGCTGTGAGTCCCAGGGAATCTGTATTAATCTCACTTCTCTAGGTTCCTCACATAAGCAGAGCACACAGTGTTAATCCTTTTGTGTCTGGCTCATTTCATTCAGCGTCATGTCTTCGAAGTTCATATTGTAACGTGTCAGAATTTCCTACCTTTTTTAGCCTGAATAATACTCCATTGTATGTATATACCACATTGATTTGTCAATAGACACCTGTTATTGAACACAAATACAGGTTCGTTACTCGATGCGAAAGAAGGCCCAATCACTAAATTGACAGGCTTGTGGCAAGGAAAGAGGTTTATTATCAAAAGGCAGCCAGACCAGGAGACGGGAGTTAAAACTCAAATCCACTTCCTCAAAGTGAAAAAGGTAAGGGTTTTTATTTGGGGTTTTGGATAGGGGAGGGGGAGCATATGCTGGGATTTTAGGTAAGGGAGGGGGAGCATGTGGTCTTGATGATTGGTGCCTTCCCACCAGTTTCCATTTTGCCTTCAAGACTGAATCTCTTTTTGCTTGACTGTCTGGATTTTTCTGGTTGGTTTGAATCCTCAGCCTGCATTTGTCCTTGTGAGGGTGAATCTCTCTTCTTGGCTATTTGAACTTCCTGGGAAAAACAGCTCACTCATGTACTAAAGAGGGGCAGAAAGATTTGGTTAGTTTTAAATAATAGTTGATTCTACTGAGTATGCACAGCTACAGATAGCAAAGCTTGTCTCAATTTTTTTTTTTCTTCTATCCCAGGGAAGATTTTAGCTCCTTCATTCTTGGTTTCAATCCCCACTAGGTTATGATCATTCCTCAATCTTGGGGAATGGGGTTGAAGACTGCTCTAGCTACTTCCTGCTGTGAAAGGGCAAAGATCAGAGTCAGGTATGAAACTGTTCCACCTTTATTTTTAAATATTTTTGGGTACTAAGTTGGGGAGAGTGAGGTATGCTTTACATGACTAGAATTTTAGTACTCTGATGGTTTTGAAACAACACAAGTCCACATTTTATAATTACATAGACAACCACACATATTAGCAAAATAGGAAGCTAAAATTTTAATATCCCCTCCATAATGGACCTCAATCTTTGGGAAATCCAGGAGAAGAGGCCTGTAAACCAATCAAGTTTGGGGCCTGGGACCTCAGGTGAAATCTGAAGTAGCCAAGCAACCTGTTGTCTGATAGTCCAAGTAAGGTCAGGACCTGAAAGTCACTCATTACTTGTTAGGAGACTGTGTTCTGCACAGTAACTTGTGGTCTGTCGGGTTCATTTGTCCATTCAGAGAAGTCAGTGTCTAGAGTATGAAGTCAGCCAAGGTTTAGGCGATCCTGGTTGTGATGTTTCTCTACAGTATGGTTCCTGTTCCCTGTGGCATTTCTCACATGGTCCTATCCAGTGGAGATGAAGTTGAGGATTTCAATAGGACCCAGTCTCCATGACAAAGATGGTGCAGAGGAACATGTGACTGTGTGTTGTTACTTAATTTTAATTCCATCTGGGTCTTTTGGATCATCTCTAGAACATAGGAAGTGTCTCCCAAAGTTAGGCTTATACTGTGTAAGCTAGTGACCAGGTATTTAATAAGTATTTCTAGAGGAACAAGAAGAAAAGCAAGGCTAATAGTTGGAGCAAATTATAAACAAATTCCTAAGCCCAGAGGGTGGCCAGTCCCCTCTAGAAATCTAGAAAGAAGATTTCTAGGTAGAGTGGCGTCAGCAGCATAGCAGAGTGAGTTTTCCCGGGACTCTCCTCTCCAACATACAACAGAAAGGGGCAACCATACTCCAATGGAAGATATCCTAACAGCACAAAAAACCTTGGAGAGACATGCAGCCACATGACAGAGGGTGGAGAGGCTGGAGCTCCCCTCAGAGGAGCTGGAATTGGGGAAGAGAGAACTGTGCTCCCTCCCCAAAAGACTGTGGTTGCTGCCATAGGAGGATCCGTGAGGGAAGGAGCACGGGAGGGGTCACAGATCCTCTGGATCACCCAGTACTCCCACAGCCCTTATAGCCTAGAGAGAAGCCCTCTAATGGAGTGAAAGCTTTGCACGGGGTGACCTCATCAAGCTAACACCCCAGGAGACCAGATAGCAAGAGCTGATTGAGAAATCCCAGATTGCACATGGGAGAAAGTGCCCCTCCCCTGACTCGACCTGTCCTATCTTGGCTGAAGGTGGATGGCTCAGAATATGTGGCTCTCAACCCCGCCTCCCCGGTGGCAATAGGCTGTAACTGCAACTGAATAATATCAAAATGAAAAACACCCGACCTTCCATCAGACACTACATCAAATCTCCAGACCAGAGAGAAAACAAGCACCCGGAACTCAGTCCTGAGGACACAGAAAGATGTAAGCTAAACGATGATGAATTCAAATTGGCTATCATCAAAAACTCTTAAGGAAATGAGGATAGAGGGAAATTACCTCAACATAATAAAGGCATATATGACAAACCCACATGAAGTCACGAAAGAATTCTCACTGGTGAGAAACTCTTTCAATGTAAGGAATGTGGGAAAGCCTTCAGTTGTCTCTGTTCAGTTCAAGGACATGAAAGACCTCACGTGGAGAGAAGCTATCAATATAACGAGTGTGGGAAATCCCTTCATTGTCCTTATTTACTTTGAAGTCGTGAACAAACTCACGCCAGAGAGAAAACCTATGAATGTGGAAATATTGGCACTAATACCTCAATTTTTAATTAACATGTAAGAATTTACAGTGAAGAGAAGCCTTATGTCTGTAGAGAACGTGGGAAAGGCTTCCTAAATCCTCAGGACTTAGCTCACACACCAGAATTCACACTGGGGAGATACCATATGAATGTGTGCAGTGTGGGAAGGGCTTCACTCCTTCCTCAAGCCTTAATGAACATATACGAATACACAGTGGAGAGAAGCCATGTTGATGGTAGGAATGTTACCAGACACAAAAACAGGCTTGTTTACCCACATGCAGGAGGGCCAGTTACCCAAAACATCAGGCTTGTGGCAAGGAAAGTGGCTTATTATAGAAAGGCAGTCAGACGAGGAGACAAGAGTTAAAACTCAAATCCACCTACCTGAAGGTAAAAAGGTAGGGTTTTTATCTGAGGTTTTACGTAGGGGAGGGGGAGCACATGACCTTGCTGGTTGGTGCCTTCCCACCAGCCTGTGTTTGGCCTTGAAGACTGAATCTCTTTCCCTTGACTGTCTGAACTTTTCTGGTTAGTTTTCATCTTCAGCCTGCATTTGGCCTTGTGAAGCTGAATTGTGTCTGAACTGTAACTTCCTGGGAAAAGCAGCTCACTCATATACTAGGGAGGCACAGAGAGACCTGGCTAGTTTTAAACAACAGTTGATTATGCTGAGTATGCACAGCTGCAGTTAGCAAAGCTCATCTCAGTTTTCTTCTAGCCCAGGGAAGACTTTTCAACTCCTTTGTTTTCAAGTGCAGGAATGTGGGAAAGCCTGGAGCTTATATTTGTCCTTTCTTAGTCATTTAGGAACTCATGCTATAGAGATAATTTATGAGTTAAAGCAAAAAACTTTTCTAATTCTACAAGATTTCATGTGCACATGCAAACTAACACAGGATTGAAACCTAAGACTGTATGGCATGCCCTGAATTTTGCATCTCCAGAATTCATATGTTAAAGCCCTAACCCACAATACCTCAGAATGAATTCACATTTAGACATAAGGTTGTTAAAGAGGTGATTGACTTAAAATTAGCTCTTTCATGTGGGGCTTTAAGTCATTATCATCGGTATCCTAAGAAGTGAAAGAGATACCAGGGATGCACGCACGTAGAGAGAGAACCATGTGAAGACCCCAGAAGATGGCCATCTGCAAGCCAAGGAAAGAGGCCTGGAACAGACGCTTCAATTAAACCCTCCACTGAAACCCAACCCTGTTGGCACCTTCATTTTGGACTTCTGGCCTCCAGAATTGTAGGAAAATAAATTACTTCTGTTTAAGGCATCCAGTCTGTGGTATTTTTTATGGCAATCGTACAAAACTAATGCAGTAAAGCATGTGAGGAAGACTTTTTATAGTCTTCTATGCTCCATAGTCAATCTGTAGCCACACTGGAGAGAAACCCTGTGAGTGTACAGAATGTGGGAAAGCCTTCATTCAGTCTTCAGCCCTTTCTAAACATGTAAGAGTTGATACTGGAGAGAAAGTCTGTCATTGGAAGTCATGTGTAAAAGCCTTTAAGTGTTCACCAGCCCTTGATAGTCACATCCACATCACCTGGTGAAAGATCCCATGAAAATAAAAGGAAAAAAGAAAGAAAAGAATGATTCTTTTACTATGAAGATAAAGTTATGACTTTATAGAACATGTAGGACCTTAGATTGGACTCACTGTAAGGCATGTAGAAGAACTTTCAGTAATATTCCATACCTTATAGAAAGTGTAAAGACTGGCACTGGAGAGAAGCCTTTTGCTTGTAAGCCCTGTGGGAAAGCTTTCATTCATTCCACGAGTCTTCTTTTACACATCTATAATTGCTGTAAAAGCCCTGGGAACATAAAGAATGTGCTACAACCCTTCAATATTTCATGTCATGTTCAAATGAAATTTCACATTGGAAAAAGACCCCATGTCTGTATGCAGCACAGTCAACATCTGCTTACTGCTCATGCCTTAATATCCACATGAGAATTCACACTGTGTAAAAATCCTGTGACTGTAAAGGGCACAGGAAGACTTTCACTTGCTCCTCCCATCTTACCATTTGGGAACTCACAGTTGTGAGATGGTGTGAAAATTTAAGGAGTGTGGGAAAGCCATCCAAATATCCTCACAAACTAGCATAGAAGTCACACTGAAGCCATACCGTGTGGGAAATGTGGAAAACCCTTCACTGTCTGTTCATTTTTTACTGAAGAGGGGAGATATTGTAGTGGAGAAAAACCCTAATAATATAAGATATGGAAAGTTGGAATTCTGCTAATACTTTAATATCCACTTGTATTATCACAGTGGAGAAAAACTTGATGAATGTCAGAAATGCTTGAAATTCATTTTTTCCTTATATTATCCCTTATCCTTTAATAAACATGGTGTGATTGACACTCTAAACATGGGGTGACTCACCGGAGAAATTGTGAATGCAGGGAATATGGGAGATGTTTACCTTAATCCTGAAATCTTATAGGATGCTGAGAGAAACATTGCTTTCTGGATGGTTCTATAGATCTATTTTGAACATAGTGATTCTGTCCTAACCATTTTTGGGCCCAATCTGTCTTTCCCCTGATAGGCATGCCAAGACAGTCTAGTTGCTATACTTTCCAGATTGAAAACTGGCCAAAAGTGGGCCAACAGGATTCACAATCCTGTTTTAGCCACCTGAATTCTCTGGTTGGATTGACATGGTCTTACATTGTGAAGAGAGTGCTTGACTGAATTCACTGCTCATGGAGTGTATCTACAGTGGCTCACACTGGTCAAGGTAGGGACATAATACATCTCTACAAGTTTTCTAAGAAAAGTGGTTCTCCTTCTCTAACACCTTATCCATTCAGATAAAAGGTCAGTGTGCAAGCAGAAGGTTAGTGGATAAAAGGCGAGGTCATACACCTGGATTTCATGGTCTTGAGGGAGAGCAGCAACCCCAGCACCTGAGGACAGAATAGTTTTGAATTCAGGCAATGTAGCCAGTTGGTCAAAAAAAAAAAAACAAAAAAAACAAAACAAAACAATCCAGCACCACAGTCTAGAAAAACAACTATATTGTCTGCATGAGTCAAGCCACAGCTGAAGATGGAAATATGACTGGCTGTTGAGTTTGTCATTCCTTCCATGTGGAATAAAAAAAGAAAAACTTAAAATGACTGGTCTTGATAATTTACTGGGCTTGATGCCATCACTGTCAGTTCCTGATTGTGGTCCTTGACTAGAGACTCAGAGACCAGCACATCCTTATTTAAGCTTGTATGATACAAATTCATATACTTATGATGCTCCAGCAGCCTTGTCTACATCATGAATAGGCCACCAAGGATGCAGCTGCTTGATGACACTTTGCATGGGGCTTAAGCAAACCTATATGTAATGCTAGTCTACGTCAGTCTTAAAAATAAACTCTGAGAAGGAATGACCTGTGCCTTTTTTGTGTTATCTGTTTGTGGAGGAGAGTGGGTTGTGGAGCGATTACCTATGGGTATGAGTGTTGCTGTTTAGCCTGTTTCACAGACTTTAGTTATTAGGAACAACACCAAATATAGGAGATTAGTCTTTATTCCCTTGTGTGGGTTGTAAGAGATAATGGAATGGCTGTAGATGACATCCTAATTGTCTGAAATAAGACCTACCAGTCGTCCTGGGAACTTATTTCACAGTTGACTGACTCTGACATCTTCGGGGGGTCATGGGTGAGGCTAATGCTACAGGTTGGCCTCATCCTGCTGGCTGGACTCCTAGTGATAGTAATATAATAAATGCTAATGGGATAAACCGAGCAGACTTGGTCCCAGTCTGTTGGTCAGTGTCTAACAGAGTGGCATATTCATGTGAAAAATCACCAGAGGCAATGAAGGATTGTTGAAAAATACTCCTCCACGGATCATTGCTCCTACTCACCTTCTTGAGCTTGCCAAGAATGCAAGGCCCTGCCCATTCTTTATCCAGACCATATCTCAGGGTTATGTTTGCAGTGAGCACCCGTGAAGGAAGAGATCCTCTCTCCTATTGGGACAAAGAGGGTGATGTCAGCCTCATGGCAGAGTGAGTTTTCCCAGTAATCTCTCCCCTCCAACATACAACGAAAAGGACATTCATACTCCAACAGAGGACATCTAAATACAACACAAAAAACATCAGAGAGACCCACACAGCCATATGACAGAGGGCAGAGACTGGAGCTCCCCTCAGAGGAGGTGGAATGGAGTAAGAAAAAACTTTGCTATCCCCACAAAAGACTGTGATCCAGGACCGTGGGAGGCCCCTGAGAGGGAGGGAATGTGGGAGGGGACTTTCGTTCGTGGGAGCTTCAAGGACCCCCCCCCCCCAAGGGCTCTTACAGCCTAGAGGGAAGCCCTCTACTGGGGCGAAAGCTTTCATGGAGGGTGACTTTATCAAGCGAATACCCCAGGAGAGCAGATAGAGCAGGCAGAGAAAACCCCGAGAGCACGCAGGAGAAAGCACCCCTCCCCTCACCTGCTTAGCATGGCTCCAGCCCCTGGGATCTTGGCTGAAGACAGAGGGCTCATACTACATGGCTCTTAACCCCCCACCCCAGTGGCGATAGGTGGTGACTGCGATCAAATAACACCAGGATGCAAAAAACAGAGCCACTCCCTCCAGCTATGGGGACAAAGAGGAGGATTGCTTACTAACTTCCTATAAAAGAATGGGTTTCCCAAAACTCATCATCATGCCTCTCCTGTAGCACAACCCAGTGTATGTGCAGACATCCATGTGGGCCCTTTGTGTCACTCTCGAGAGACTTGGGGACAAAGAGAACAAATGCAACATGCTGATGCTAATACTGCTGCTGCCCCATGAGTAAGCATCTCATATCTGACTCCAAAGTCTCAGGTCTTCTGCCAGCATCTATGAAATAGTAACAGGCTAACTTATTAGTTTGCAAGTAGGGTGTAATCACTTCTGGGCTTCACAGTTTTGGCAATGAGAATGGCATGCTAACAGAGATTGCTTTGTGACAAAGAACAAGGTTCCCCAGGCTTGGTTTGGAGATGTTAAGACTCCTTGGAATGCAGTAATGAAATCCCTTCTTCAAGGGACCAGCCCAGTGGCATAGTGGTTTAGTTCACGTGCTCTGCTTTAGCAGCCCAAGGTTTGCAGGTTTGGATCCCAGGCGCAGAGCTAGCACCACTCATCAAACCACACTGTGGTGGTGTCCCACATAAAATAGAGTAAGATTGACACAGATGTTAGCTCAGTGACAATCTTCCTCAAGCAAAAAGAGGAAGATTGGCAACAGATGTTAGCTCAGGATGAATCTTCCTCTCACACACACAAATCCCTTCTTCAAGAAGTTTTCCTGAGTTGTAGGCAAGTAGAAAGGAATAAGCACCCCCTTACTGTCTTACCTATTTATGAAGCTGAGTGGCAAGATGGGGAAAAGCCACCCAAATGGTGCCTTGGTGGTTCTCTCTCCTCTGGGCAGGTGTAGGAGGGGATGGTATAATTATGGGTCAGGAAGACCTGCTGTTCCAGCTGAAGGACAGTATGGCTGTGGCTGCTGAGTCAGTAGGTCAAAGATTAAACAAATGATGTCAGTAATTAGGACTTTCTATTTGATTTTGTAATATGAGTGAAAAAACAGAATTTTCCTTGGTTAAGCTGTGAGTGAGAAGCCACTTGGAATGTGAATTCAAAACAGGCTACAAGAGAGTGGAATGATATATTCAAAATTCTGAGAGGTGAAATCTTTCAGCCAAGAATAACCATGAAAATATCCTTCAGATATGATGGAGAAATAAAAGCTTTCCCAGGCAGGGGGCTGGCCCCATGGCCAAGTGGTTAAGTTCACACACTCCGCTTTGGCGGCCCAGGATTTTGCCAGTTCGGATGCTGGGCATGGACATGGCACCACTCACCAAGCCATGCTGAGGCAGCATCCCACATGCCACTAGAAGCACCCACAACTAAAAATATACAACTATGTACTGGGGGGATTTGGGGAGAAAAAGGAAAAATAAAATCTTAAAAAAAAACGCTTTCCCAGGTAAACAAAAGCTAAGGGAGTTCATCACAAGACACCACCTACAATAAATGCTCATAAAGGCTCTAATACCTGAAAAAAAAAAAAAAAAAGTAGGAAAGGTGCTACAAAGCCCTGAGCAAGGAGATAAATAGATGGGCAAAATCAGAAAATTGCAGCTATTAGAACAGGTTAGTAAACACTTAATAATAACATTAAAGGTAAAGGGAAGGAAAACACCAAAATAATCTCATCATTTTAACCACAAACTGACAATATAAGATGGAATAAAATAAGACCATAATAACTTAAAAGGGGAAGAGGAACGGGAGGATGGAATTGGCTTAGACTAAAGAAATACATGGCTATCAGAAAATGGACTATCTCATCTACACGATATTTTATACAAACCTAATGGTAATCACTAAATGAATAATTAAACAAACAAATGATAAATAAGGAGAAAACTAAGAAAACCATGATAGAACCTACCTAACTGAATTGATAGTCCAAAATACATGGGACAAGAAACAGGAAATGCAGAAGAATCTGAAAACAAGTTATAAGATGGTAGCATTAAGCCCTCATATATCAATAATCACTCTAAATGTAAATGGATTGAATTCTCCAATCAAAAGACACAGAGTGGTGAGACGGATTAAAAAACAAGACCCCAAAATATGCTGCCTCCAGGAAACACATCTCAGCTCCAAAGACAAACATAGGCTTAGAGTGAAGGGATGGAAGACGATACTCCAAGCTAATAGCTTATATCAGACATATCATACTTATATCAGACAAAACAGACTTCACAATAAAACAGCTAAAGAGAGACAAAGAGGAGCAGTATATAATAATAAAAGGGACACTCCACCAAGAAGACATACTACATAAATATTGATGCAGCCAACACAGGAGCATCAAAGTACACACAGCAACTATTAACAAACCTAAAAGGAAATATTAACAACAACACAATAATAGTAGAGGACCTCAATACCCCAATTACATCAACTGATAGATCATCCAAAAAAAAGTCAGAAAGGAAATATTGGAATTAAATGACAAACTAGACCAGATGGACTTTACATATATAGAACACTCCATCCAAAAACAGCAGAATACACATTCTTCTCAAGTGTATGTGGAACATTCTCAAGGATAGGGCATATGTTGGGAAACAAGGCAAGCCTCAATACATTTAAGAAGACTGAAATCACATCAAGCATCTTTTCTTACCATAATGCTATGAAACTAGAAAATCAACTACAAGAAAAAAGCTGGGAAAGGGACAAAGATGTGGAGACTGAACAACCAATGGCTCATTGAAGAAATTAAAGGAGAAACAAGAAAACATCTGGAGACAAATGAACATGAAAACACACCATACCAACTCTTATGGGATGCAGCAAAAGTGGTCCTAAGAGGGAAATTCATAGCAATACAGGCCCATCTTAACAAACAGGAAAAATCTTAAATAAGCAATCTTAATCTACACCTAACAGACTGAGAAAAAGAACAAACAAAGCCCAAGTTAGCAGAAAGAGGGAAATAAGAAAAATTAGAGCAGAAGTAAATTAATTTAAAACAAAAAAGATGGTAGAAAGGATCAGTGAAACAAACAGCTGGTTCTTTGAGAAGATAAAATTGACAAACTCTTAGCCAGACTCACTAAGAAAAAAAGAGAGAAGCCTCAAATAAATAAAATCAGAAACAAAAGAGGAGAAATTACAACGGATACCACAGAAATACAAAAGATTGTAAGAGAATACCATGAAAAACTATATGCCAACAAACTGGACTCTTACAACCTCCCACAACTGAATCAAAAAGAAATAGAGAATCTGAATAGACCAACCACAAGAGATTGAAACAGTAATCAAAAACCTCCCCAAAAATAAAAGTCCAGGACTAGACAGCTTACCTGGAGAATTCTACCAAACATTCAAAGAAGATTTATTACCCCTATCCTTCTCAAACTATTCCAAAATATTGAGGAAGATGGAACACTTCCTAACACATTCTATGAGGCCAACATCACCCTGATACCACAGCCAGAGAAGGACAACACAAAGAAGGAAAATTACTTGCCAATATCACTTATGAACATAGATGTAAAAATTCTCAACAAAATACTGGCAAAAAACATACTGAAATACATTAAAAAGATCATACAACATGATCAATTGGGATCTATATCAGGGATACGGGATGGGTCAACATCCACAAAGCAATCAATGTGATACAGCACGTTAACAAAATAAGGAATAAAAAACATATGATGATTACAGTATATGCAGAGAAAGCATTTGATAAATCCAACATAGATTTATGATTTAAAAATCTTTCAACAAAGTGGGTATAGAAGAAAAGTACCTCAACATAATAAAGGCCATATATGACAAACCCACAGCCAACATCATACTCAATG